GATAGCGATTTTATCGACCTTGGAGGGTGATGAGGCAACACCTTGACCCGGATGAGGACTCTCAACCGCCCATTGGTGAGTTGAGGGCTCTAGAAAAAAATCCACCCTGCCAAGCACCACGATGATCACACCCATTACATGTGTTGCACCGTATGCATGCAATCTTATTATTTAATGATAATAATGACACGGGGATTAACCAGGAGTAGACAGCTCGTAAGTAGCAAAGGAGCAAACGCATCTACATAGAAACTCCACAGGGATTAACAAGGCGTACACAGCGATAATCATGCGCGTATACGTAACTACTCAGACACTACACAGCTACAGTATTTAAAAGTACACAGTGACTAGCAAGGAGACACATTCGTCTATATAGACAATACACAGGGATTCTCAACGCGTAGACAGTGACTAGCAAGGGAGTACCCGTGGAGTGGCATGGCGTTGGAAGAAGAGATGGGCCTGTATATGTTTAGCCACTTGTAACGAGTTAATGTCCGCTTAATCGATGGTATGTATGGTAGATCGGAGGTCCATTGCCATCTTCTCCATGACGAGGGTATCAATTCGCTCCTCCCCCATCTTGGGGTACGCTGCCTTCGCCAACTTTAGCAGGGAGCTCTGGTAGGCGAGGGGAGTTTCGTGCTCCCTGCGCCGTCTATCCACGAAGCGGTGGCGGATGGTCGCTGCTGAAGCGCTTGCTGCAGGGTGGCGCGATCTGCAGGCGCCGCAGTGAGGAAGGCCGCCAGCGCTTCGTCGTCGAGTGCCGATGGTAGAGCTTGAAGCGCCACCTCTTCTGACCACCCCGACATTTTAGCGCTTGTGGTGAACCTGCGCTGGAAGGCGGCCCAGTCGCCTTCTGAAGCGGAACACTCCTTGAGTGCCGGCAGCCTCTGCTGTAAAGACTGTGGCTTCGTGGACGAGCCGTAGACGAGCCGCAGTCGGTGTGGTGGGAGCAGCCAGTGCAGTGGCAGTGGCGGCCGCTTGTGGCTGCCGCGCAGGCAATGACGCGGAAATTGACGCCGATTGGCGAGTCGTAACAGCAGCCAATTTTGAATCGTCCGCGGGCGTTGCTGATGGTGAGGCCGTGATGGCGATTTCAGCTGCTGGTCCGCCGAGATGCAGGTTGTTTAAAAAAGATGCTGCAGCCTGCAGGAGGTCGGCGACACGCGCGTGTGTCGTGCGTAACGTCTCCTGCGACGGCGGCGGGGTGTTCGATGGACGGCCGGCGTACTGCGCTGGGGGAGGCATGCCCTCGGTCCTCCCCCGTGAGCTGTCAGAAGGCAGCAGCGCGTCTTCGGCATAATCCTCCTGCGTCCCGGTACGTTGGACTCTGCTTCTTGTTTCCATTTTAAAAAAAGATTATTATTTATTTATGTATTCTTCTTCCAGTTACTTTTTGTAGCACGAATTCGTGGGCACTTCTGACACCAATGTAGTGAATTCCGGAGACACTTGTAGACGCCGCGTTCTTTATTACTTGCAACACACTAACTACTGTAAGCTAACTACTCGTGCAGCCTATCTCACGTATCTCCTCCACACAGCCTATCATACGCCGCCTACGTAGTGTGTCTACCCCGGCTACGCTCCAGGTCCTCCGGCTATAATACCCTACGGGAGGCTGTCTGACCTGACCCAGCCAAGGTACAGATCCAACCACTGGCTCCTCAGACCCGGCCCTTACAAGGATATCAGGTAAGAGAGTCCCAGGGTCCACCACTGGCCTCACAGAGCCCCGGCCCTTAAAAGGATAGCGGAGCTAGGGGTCCAGGGTCATACACCAGCAGGTCTTCAGGCTTCGGTCTTCAACTTCAACTGCCACGAACCTCTCCAGATGTCCGCTTTATACACACTTCTCAGCCGAGGGGCGGGGCTCTGTGGGATCGTAGAACACCCCGCATCCCCCACCCGTTGGGACGGGCTGCCGGGGATCCTAGAACCCCCCACAGTCCCCAACCGCTCCTGGGCTGTCTGCCGTTGCAGGCAACTGCAGCCGCAGCCCCCAGTCGTTGGGAGGGGCTGCGGGGGATCCTAGAACCCCCAAATCATAATTAAATTAAGTTACTGTGCGGTCTTTAGTGTAGGACATGAAACCCCTGTGGTGAGTTTCTGTTTGAAGAGTGCGATGTTCGTGCGTCAACGTCCTCATGTCAAATTCACAAACCATTTGGGGACGTGACCATTTCAAACAAGCAAATAAGAAAACAGCCGTGGGAGAGAGAGAGCTAATTTAGCGTCTAGAGAACGCCCAGTTGCCCACACGCAGTATCGCCTGCTTCGCTTATTCACGAGTGGTAGAGGGCTCAGATATGGGCCACGGTCAGAGGACGTCACTCACAAGTGGAAGCTTGCCAGCTCAAGTCCCAGCTGGGCGGGTCAACACAGTTCAGTTCAGTACCCATAGAATGACCACCACGTTGCGGGAATTGAACAGCAGTAAACGCATTGAGGGGCTGATCCCCCGCTATAGTCAATGTGCTCCATGTGCCGGCTGCCCAGTGGCACCGCTCAGGGCCAACCCGGCGTGATCCTCGCTCCCTCGCAGGGGAGACGCCACTGCTGTCCATAGCCACAGGCACAGCACGTAGTCGTAGCCGTAGCGGTGATCGGCGCACCACCGCGATGTGAACTCTGCAGCCCGAGGTCCATTCCCACGCCACGGCCAACGTCGGCGGCGAGTGGCATCTCAACCGGTCCTGGCACCTTCACGAACCTACAATGACCAGGGTGGTGAAGTATGGTCAAACAACACCCATGACCGACACGGCGTGGGGAGGCCTTTGTTCACAAATTGACTGTAAATTGTTTTGCATTCACTTCAGCTCCCCCTTAATTACAGAGCCTTCCACTGTGAATGTCACAAAATGATGCCCAGTAATGCCTGAATTGTGTCTCCCATAAAATAAAGTCGTTAACTCGCACAGCTACGTAGGGGTCGTCATTAGTACAGTCTTGAAGTTCATTATATAAAGTACTTTAGGAATAAGAAAAGTCTATACAATATGGTGGTTGATAAAATGTGTTTCTTCGCCATTGTGAGATTCAACAAAAAGTGCCACTCCATCTGCTGCTGTGAAATGTAAAACACCACACGGGTTGCATTCATATTCAGTAGCTCCTGTGAACACAATGTGTGTGCTGCGTGAGCTCTGGCGAGGCTTGCAAGGAACTGAGGGGTTTTGAACAATTCCCATACGGCCTGAAGCACCGCTCCCCATGCGTTTCAGGCAAATTGTCAGGCACCGTGCAGTAGAGCGGCACGCACTCCCGGTGTGTGTTCCACTGCCCAAGGAGACACTCGTGTATCGTACTGCATCGCGCTGTGATAGCCTGAGCTGTGTGGGTCAGTGTGAGGAGGGGAGCCCCACCGGACGTGGAAGTGGAGATGGGGTCACAGCGGGGTATGGGTGAGACCGGGGGTGCCTGGCTGTTTGGATGAGTGATAGTGCAGTGGTTAGCGCACCGTGCTCTGAACCTGGTGACCTGAGACTGATGCTCGACCACGGTAGCAATCGGTGGGGAGTAATCTCTGAACCAGTTCTGGGCCTCCGTTGTTCAATGTGTAAACATCAGCACTGGGTAGCCACACGACCCACTCATATGACACGTCAGCCTTCATAGGCGGCTGTACTAGCGGTGCGTGGCTTGTGGTTCTCCCTTCCTCCCAATGCAGCTGAAGCCCTGCTGAAGCGGCCGCACGCCTCCGACGACCTTGTGAGTGAGTATCTCTCCTCCAATCCCACCACGGCTGACCAACCCTCACCCACCCATCCACACCTCCTCTGTCGTGTCTCCAGCGTGACCCATCCGTTGGTGTTCCCATGCCATCTCAACTGCCCAGGCCCGACTTCCACCATAATAAAAAAGCCTTGAGAGGCAACTGGCTCTTGCCACAACTTGGTAAAGGCCACCACTGGCCAACTCGAGTGTATTTTACAGGAGCCAAGAGGACAGTTGGTCTCTTACTGGTAGGAACGAAGTGAACCAGCCTAAAATAGATTATATCGTCCGTCCGTCCGATGTCCGCTTAGGTATAGCAACATCGCCCCCTACTGCAAACACTTGGCAGGACCCTACAAAAACCTTTAGACTCAGTGACGCTTTCCTGGCTAAACAAGTGTAACATTCCCTTATAATTCCCTGAGATAGCTTTTAATTAAAACATTTTTTCTGGCTAAACAAGTGTAACATTCCCTTATAATTCCCTGACATAGCTTTTAATTAAAAAATTTAAATTAAAAATTAACTCACAGCGGCCTAAAGCCTACAGCTAGGCCTAAAGCCTAGAACTAGGCCTCAAACTCTCCCTTCGTATCGTACCCCCGCGTGTGTGAAAGGGAGTTAATGTTTAACAATGTTACATTCCCTGATGTTTTTAAATAGAAACATTTACATTTAAAGCTTTTACATTAATAATTAAAACATTTAAATTAAAAATTAACTCACAGCGGCCTAAAGCCTACAGCTAGGCCTAAAGCCTAGAACTAGGCCTCAAACTCTCCCTTCGTATCGTCCGATTAGGTGTAGCAACATCGCCCCCTACTGCAAACACTTGGCAGGACCCTACAAAAACCTTTAGACTCAGTGAGGCTTTCCTGGCTAAACAAGTGTAATAATACATTATGTTTATATTCTTTGGTTATTCGTTCCTACCAGCCCACCCCGCAGGGACCTGTTTATTTAACCTGAACAAACTCACCACCATCGCCAAAACCATCAAAGCACTTCCCAAACTTCACCTGACCAATAACAACCCCCGTGCTTCAGAGTCACGGACATTTATGTCTGTGAGATATTGTACACAGATATTGGATTATTGTTTTGAAATTAGCTAACATCACAAAGCAGGACCGTCCTAAAGAATAAGCGCCAGACTGAGCAAGGTTTACCTGGGTTGAATAATTGTCACTGTTCTTCGAGAGCGCGCTATCATTGCTGTGAGTGCCTCTGTGTGTGAGCGTTTTTCAGTCGCGTCTCTGTGCGTCCACTGTGCAGAATGCGCGCTCAGCAGCTGCTTCAACAACACGGAGTGCTTCCACAACTACCACCACGAGCTCGCTCAGAACCCCGGTGAGCAGGGAGGGTCCTTCCTTCCCCCCGCTACCCCCCACCCACCCCTCCACAGCTCCCATTCCCCCCACCTACTCCCCCGTGAGCCGAGGCTGGGCCGTGTTGTGAGCGCCCTGGAGACTGAGAGCGCGATTCCCGTGTAGGGCAGGGGGACTGATTAGGGCTGTAGATACACCGCGTCTATCCATCGATTCATTCCGACTCTTAATGCTCACGATACATGCATCGACATGCTTGCATAACAATTCGTGTTTTTATATATTAATATGTCTGTGTGTGGATATATCTCACTGGGTGCCCTGTGTGTGTGTGTGCCTCGTGTGTAGCGTCTCACCGGGTGTTCAACCTCACGCTGTGCGCGTTCGTCTCCACCGACTACCCACTCGGTGAGTCCCGCACCGCGAGCCCCACGCGGGACACACAGACAACACCCAAGTATTTGTTTTTAAAAACTTAAGCCACGTTCCTAAGCATAGCACCCGGGCCAGGATGAAAGCCTGGAGTGAGTGGCTGAGCGGTGGTCGTGCCTCACCGCGTGCTCGTGCTGTCTCCTTCTTGGTGTCGTTGTCCATCGGTGCAGAGTGCGACCATCGCAACTGCACCCTGGACATCGCCGCCTGCAAGCACCTGGACACGGCGAGCATGCCGGGTACGAGTGCGCACACACGCACACGCGACTTGGAGCGCACGCAAGCACGAGTACACACAACACGCGCCGTCAATGCTCTCTGCACACACGTGGAAGCGGTCGCGTGGGAATCGTTGAAGTGTCATATAGCCAAATTATGTGCGTATAGAGGTGGAGTGGCGGTGCAGTGGTTAGCGCACTGCGCGACGTAACCCGGCAAGTTCGATTTCCAGCCACGGCTAACATCGGTGGCGAGCGGCATCTGACCCGTCACTGGGTTTCCCGTCAATTCAACCAGCAGTGGCCAGCGTGGTGAAGTATGGCTAAACAACCCCCGTGACCGACGGCGCAGGGGTCATTTCATCCAACAGTGGACGGACAAAGCGCTGTTCACTGCCATGGTTGATGTGCCACTCCTCGCTTGCATGGAACGGTTTCCCCTGCAGTGGAGAGTGCAGGGCGAGTGTCCCTGCACGGCGCTGAGTGGGGACCGCGCGTGGGGCGGGGCTCACGCCGGGCCCCTCCCCCTTTAAAACGACTCTGGCCGCGACGGTGGTGCGCTCGTGTGAATGCGTGTGTGTTGACACTCTGTGTGTGTGTTGACACTCTGTGTGTGTGTGAATGTACGTGTGTGGGTTGACACTCTGTGTGTGTTGACACTCTGTGTGTGTGTGTTGACACTGTGTGGGTGTTGACACTGTGTGTGTTGACACTCTGTGTGTGTGTGTTGACACTCTGTGTGTGTGAATGTATGTGTGTGTGTTGACACTCTGTGGGTGTTGACACTCTGTGTGTGTGTTGACACTCTGTGTGTGTGTTCGTTCTGGTGGTTCCGGTGGTACTGGTTCTGCTCATCCTCTACTTGCGAAGACGTGAGAACCAGCGCTTCAGATGTATTCACACAAAAAACATAGATTCCCCGTATAGCCTTAACAGACTGTTGGAGCAAGTGCTGTTAGCGAACACCTATGAAGGCTGGGATGGCACACGAATGATGGGTGGGTGGCCAGCACCACACCTTTGTCTCCATAGTGGTGATGTTTACACACCGCACCAGGTACTTCTTTGAGGCTGAGTCGACATAGGGGAGGCCCAGAACCGGTTCAGATCATCACTGGTGTTGGCCGTGAGCAGGAATCGAACTTGAGTCACCTGGTTTGTAGCGCAGATGTTGCTCTGTGTCTTTGTCACAAAGATACACACACTCACACACACGTGCATGTGCACACACACACGTGCATGTGCACACACGAACAGGACAGGCTGTACTGCTCTGAGAGCAGCTCGGGACATTCGGTGCTTCCCCTGCACTTCCAGTGACAACATCACCGAGAAACATGGCTTCAGGAGCAACCTCGCCGAGCGCAGCACCTTCAGAAGCAACCTCACCGAGCACCGCACCTCCAAGAGGAGACAAGAGCTTGGATAAGTTCCCATGGTGGTGATGTCTATCTGAGTCACCGTCCCAGCCACTCGCCTCGGCTGGCAGCACGCTGTGCCTCCTCCCACTGCGGTTTAATGTTGGTGTTGCTTAAATTTAACTTATTTTCAAAGTTTTGTTATGATTCAGTCTTTAGTTTTAGGCTCGAGTTTAACTATTTTATTTGTTAACTTTAGGTTAAGGCACCGGCGTATGTTGTATTTATTGTCGTAAAATTTTACATTTTCATATTATTCGGTCAGCGTTCCCCAAATTTACTAATTTTTATTTTATAAGAAGTCTGAGTTAGAATGTTGCCATCCTCACACAACAGCACTCATTGCTGTTGGTATTCCTGAGCCAGTGTTGTAAATTCCACAGTAACAGGTCAGGGAGCACTTTCTCAATATCACAACCGCGACTGACTTCCTACAAACCAATTTTACAAACTCCAATGGGAATATAGATTCGTTCAGTTCCTGCCCGAACAGGATTTCAACTTGCGGCCTGTCATGGTGAGTTGAGCTCTCAAACCACGATGCCATCGGATGCCTCCATGTCGGATATCGGCACCATCATCGCCACCGGTCCCTTAACCGTGGCACTGTGGGGGCTCCAGTGATGCTTTGGCGTTCAACTCTTTCCACCTCTCGCAGTCAACGTCTGTGACTGACCCCCTAATGGTCATGTCACCTCCACGCGAAGTTATTCACCCGAACAATGGGCGGTGCGTGGCAGTCGTTGGAAGCACCGCATCTCTAAAGATGATTCCAAGACTCACAGCTATAGAATGTAAATTACTACTGTTCATGCAATCGACAACAGTAATATATAAATCATTATATCAACAGCATTATGTTTCAAAAAATATTACAAGCAAACTGAGGCCGTTATGGTAATGTGAGCCGGCACAGGAAGCAGCAGGATCTGATCGTAAAATGAGATCTCAATTCACCACACGTGGCATCTCGTGGCACAAGGCTAATTGTCTCAGACCGTTACAGTTCTGATTAAATACTTCTCGTCCTGCGATTATTGCGGTTGGCTGTGTACGGTGCGAAAAAAGTTAAGCATACGTACGTAGAGAATGCAGCATTAATTGTCGTGAATTAACAGGATTTCTCCAAGTGGAGTTGACTTCAATAACTCTGCCACCTAGCGACCCAACATCCCCTATCAGTTGTCAACCATCGCTCCCTGTGCCCTCTCATCTCGCCCCAACCTCTCTACTCCTCCCCTCTCTCTCACGGGCAGCCGTTTCCCTCCACAAGCACAAATCGTGAGGATGTTGCGAGTTCGACAGCGACATCCCACATGTCACCAAAGCTGTTACACATTACCTGGCACGTGTCACTTTGAGGACATTCATATTGGTCAGCCAATGTCAGATTATTAGTTTGTAATATTTAAGAAAAGTGTGTTTTGCAATGGATATATGAAGTTACATATTTTCTTGGTGGGGGTGTTAATCCCCAGAATAGCACGCGCCGTTCATTGCGTATTAGCAGATGCGTTCATGACGTCTGACCATAAATCATAAAACCGTGAACACTCAGACTGTGGGCTTGCAGAGTCGGTGTTCGGTGCTGCAGTGCGTCCTGTGTAGGGTACCCTGTTTTTCTCCATTAAGGCCAAATGTGCTCATTATTAATTTAAAATGTTATTTATATAGTTTTTAATGTATATACAGTACAACCTTGCATATCTGACCGTCATCTATCCACTGCCCAATTAACCACCCAGCGCTGTGCTTGTGCACGGTGTAGCGGTCATCTTCGATTGATGCTCACATATCTGACCTTTACACAAATCTGACCTTCACACAAATCCACCTGTAGCTCAGTCTGACGCAAGTCAGATATGTGATGCACTAACAGAAAAGAAAACCACATCGGTGCGACCACCACAGCAAACACGAGCACGTTCTGCAGGGTGCGCAGTGGCAATTCAGTGGCTGACTGGGGCTGCCTGATGCATGGCTGCGCAGCGTGGAGATGCAACTCAAGGCGAGGCAGCGTCGTGCCCCGTGATATTTTTGAGCTGCTGGAGCGCCATTATTTCGCCTATTTGGTTCACTTTTAAGGGATCGCGAAACCCCTATTGTATGTGGGACACGGTACATCCACCACGCTATCTCAAGGATACCCTACAGTCACCACAATCACCTCTGGGCATGCATACAATGGTGGGAGCAAGCAAGGCCATGAGGGCTTTGGTCGACAACCCTCCCACGAATGTTAATTCAATGTCAGAATCTCTGTCTTCAAGCGGTGCTTATCTCTGTGGAAAACAAATTCCACGTTTTTGTGGTGGTGGTGGTGGTGGTGGTCAGTACCTCGCTATAACGACGACTGTTGACGTCCCACAATGCGGTACTCATTTTAACCACACTGGAGCAATGATGGGCTGATAGGCCTCGGCAAGGTAAGGTAATTTACCCTTTTTACCGGGTAAAATGGTAAAGATAAAGGTGTCGACACCTTTACCTTTAAGGTAAAGGGTAGGGTAAAGGTAGCGCGGAAGAATTACCCGGTAGGGTAAAGGTAGAGTGAAATATTACCCGGGAAATACCTTGTTTACCGCTCGCTAAAAGCTCTGGCGCAGTCCGTGGCCTCCATATAAAATTGGAATCATCGAGAGTATTCTATATGAATAAAGCGCTCTACCTAGCATTTACCTGTTATAAACCTTTTTAATGTGGAGTACCCCAGTAATTACCCTGTCATCGGGTAATTTGAATGGGGTAAGGGTAAAAGGTAGGGTAAAGGTAACTCGTTGCTTTTGACCTTTTACCTTAGCTTGCTAAAGGGTTAGAGGTAAGGGTAGAGTGATTGTATTGTGGTAAGGTAAAAGGTAGGGTAAGGGTAGGCTCGTTGTTTTTACCTCTTACCTTACCTTGCCGAGGCCTATGGGCTGAGTCAACCATCGGATTGTAGCTCGCGGCGTTCTGCTTGCATGTCGAGCTCTGTGCCACAGCATCACCCTTCCACAGAGCTCCGGTCTGGTGCGAGGCTTTTGAAGGATTTTGTGGCTTTGCTTTGTGTAAAAATCTTACTTAAAAATGCCACGACGTGAAAAGTGAGGCACACTGAACTCAGTGTTTTAGAATAAAACGCAACCTGTATTTGTATACGTGTGCATGTACAGCCACTTTGCCAATCCACGACTCGATGAGGGCCTCTCTACGCCGGTGCGGATTGTGGGGGGTTAGTTGACTCTGCCTAGCAGCATGTTAACGTTATAACCTTTCCCATAGTCATAACCCTAGCCCTGATCCCTAAGCCTCGTTATAACCCTCCATGTCATCTTGGCCTAATCTATAATAGGCTTAATGGTCTAATCACAATCCTGGCCTTAATCAGAATGCTAAACAATGTCCCTTTGTGACTCATCGCCAATGTTGATTCACAGAAAGGGCCTCCAGATTGAGCAGCATCACTTCCTCACGGTGCCACTTATCTACATTGTCGATCAAACGCGTCGGAGCGTGAGGAAGTTCACGCGCGGTGATACTGCAGGGTAATGGCACCGTTAGGAGACGGTGCCGCAGTTCTAGCGGCTGTGTGAGCTGGGGGATGCTCCCTCGCGCTGGGGGCCGCTCC